GTGACAGAGACACAGAACAACATTGGCCACGTGACAGAGACACAGAACAACATTGGCCACGTGACAGAGACACAGAACAGCATTGGCCAGATGGCACAGCCCTGTCAGTCCTTTAGCTCACCTCACCACCCACAGCACCACCACTCACTTGGGGTAGTCATTGCGAGTCACCATGCTGCCAATCTCCCCCGCCCTCACGTCTGGCCGCGTGCACGTAAAGCGCAGCAGCGAGCTGACCTGCTCCTCGTTCAGCTTCGGCCCGTACCGCTGCCCGCCGATAATGTGGCACACCTCCATTGGCAGATAGCTCTTCCCCCCGCCGCCCGCCATGACGCAGGGCAGGTTGGGGTGGCGGATGGTGTAGCCGTAGGCGGAGCGGAAGTAGGCCACCAGGGAGGTCTCCCCCTGCCCTTCTATGGTGAAGGTGAGAGCGTGTGCTGGCTCGCGCGTGAGACCCTGGATGCGGTAGCTGCATGGGGAAAGGGGGAAGAAGAGAAGGTGGAGGGGTGGGTGGATGGCTGCAGAGGGGCGGACGAGCGGAGGGACAGAAACACGGTAGCGAAAGTGTGTATGACCGGAAAGGGTTGGGGAAGGGGGCAAGGGGGGGGGGGACGGCAAGTACAGAGGGAGAGGGAGTGGGGCTGGGAAGAAGAAGCTCCTTCCCAGTTCTGGTGGTGAGGAACAGGGCCAGAATAATAACACGGTAGGCGTAGCAGGGGCACTCACCGGCGGGGCGTGTCGCGGTGAGTGACCCCCACTTTGATCCCATGCAGCGCACGCTTCAGCTTCACTCTCTCCCCATCGCTCAGCGACGCATTCGGTGCAAACCCGCCTCCTCCTCCCCCTCCCGGCCCCCGACCACCCCTCCCCCCGAACCCACCCCTCCCCCCGCCTCTCCCGCCGCCTCCCCCGCCCCCACCACGCCCCAGGAAGTCAGCGGCAAAGGTGAGGAGCGGCATGTCGTGGTGGAAAGCGGTGGCAGCCATGTCGACGTTGAGCGCCAGGCCCTGCTGGGAGAAGCGCACCGACTGGAAGAAGCCGCGGTAGGCTGTTACTCCGCCGCCCAGCGCCGTGCTGCCGAGAGAGGCGGAGTAGAGCGAGCGACCCACCGGGGTGAGGCTGGTGAGGAGTCGCTCCCTCAATGCCACGTCGAGTGCCTGGGGGTGGGTGGGAGGGGGAGAGGAGGAAGGGAGGTGATGGATGGAGAGAAAGGGGCAAGGCCGGCCCAAGAGGTGATGGGGGCAGGGACAGGGTCAAGGGGGAAAAGAATTGATGCGAATTGGCAGCAGCAGCAGCATCAGAGCAGCAACGCACTTGGGGGATGTCGGCCTGGCGCCCTTGGAGGAACGAGGCCATGGACAACATGGGGTACTGCGCCGCCAGCTTCACAGTCACCTTCATTCTCATGTGTGTTTTGGGTCAGCTCAAACCACACCTTTTGGGTCAATTCAAAGCGCACCTGCAGCAGCAATTGCGAAATGTCAGCCTGGGCGACCGTGCAGAAAAGAAGCCATGGACGACATGGGGTATTGCTGAGCTAGCTTCACCCTCACCTTCATCCTCACCCTCACCATCACCATCACGTAGTCGACTCAAAACATACCTGCAGCAGCACTTGCGGAATGTCGGCCTGCCGCCCCTGCAGAAAGGAAGCCATGGACGACATGGGGTACTGCTGAGCTAGCTTCACCGTCACCTTCACCGCCCGCTCCCTCCGCTCCCCACCTCCGCGCCCGCCCCTCCCGCCCCCGCGCCCACCACCACTGCTGCTACCTCCCCTCCCCCCGCCTGCTCCGCCTCTCCCGCCCCCTGCCGCTTCGTCTTTCTCGGGCAGCACCACGCAGAACTCCTGGCTGTCAAACGGCAGCGGGCGGGCAGTGAAAATGTTCTTCATGCCGTCGAAGACGGGGCGCACGGGGGCGCTGGGGGCGCCGCCAGGGGCGGGGGAGACGAGCTGCGCGCTGTAGGTCTCCGCCAGCTGGCGGATGGCTGCGCGCATGACGCCCTTGGAGGCCAAGGCGGGGGAGAAGTCCACGTCGTAATGGTAGATGACCAGGTCCTGTTGAGGGAGAGAAAGCAGGTGAGGGGAGGGGAGGGGACGGGAGGGGAGGGAGGGAATGGGAAAGGAGGGGGGTGAATGGGAGGGAAGGGGCGTGTGGAGGAGCGGATTTTGTGTTGCGCATGACGGCCTTGGACGCGAGCGCGGGGGAGAAGTCTCATCGTAGAGGTAGATGACCAGGTCCTGGGGAAAAGAGGTTTGACTGGGCAAAGAACGTGTGGCAGCACGGGCAGGTTAAGGGCAGGTACGCGAGCAAAGAAAATGATACAAGGGGTACAGAGAGAGAGGAGAGTAAGATGGGACGAGATGGATGCCAAGGGAAGGGGCGAGAGCATTACGGGGCAATCGCACTTTGCACCGCTCTGCCTGCCGTCCCACCCTCTCCTCCCCTTCCATCACACACCCTTACGTACAACCCCACAAAAAAATCCCAAGCTACTTGTCCCGCCTTCCCCCCCCCCCTTGTCCCCCTTGCCCCATCCCCGCGCGCGCGCGCACCTGGAAGTCGATTTTGAAGTGGTTCGCCAGCAGCATCACGGGCCGCCCCAGCTTGCCGAAATCGGGCCGCGCCGCCGCCACCAGCGCCCTGCTCGACACGCCCGCGGGGCCCGCCATCGTCACCGCCACGCCCGCCGCTGCTGCCGGCGGAGCACCCGCTACGGGGGCGGGCACAGCCTGTACGGGGGCAGGCGCAAACGCAGCAGGTGCCGGCGCGCGCGGAGCAGCAGCGGGCATAGGCGCGGGAGTAGGGGCAGCGGGTGCGGGGGTAGGAGCAGGGCCACGCGCGGGTGCGGGGGCGGGGGCGCGCGCAGGTGCGAGGGCGGGGAAGTCCGCGGGTGGCGCGGACACGCCCATCTGCGCCATGCCTGCGGTGATGCCCCCAACACCCCCCGCTCCTTGCGCCTGCTCTCCGCGTCCTCCCCGCCCGCGCCCCCCGCGTCCGCGCCCTCCGCCTGCGCCAGGGGCTCCCGCTCCCCCTGGTGCTCCTGCGGGAACGGGCCCACCTCTTCCCCCTGGCGGCGCGCCCCTCCCCCCTCCGGGTGCGCCCCTCCCCCCCCGACCTCCTCCTGCGGGAGACGGCGCGCCTCTGCCCGCCGCGGGCGGCTGAGACGTTGCTGCTGACGACGGCGGTGCTGCGCTGCACGCAGGGAGGCGAGTGACAGGGGCGGACGAGACCGGAGAGACAGAAGCATGATGACATGTTTTTTATTACCCATCTCCTAGAATCTACCCAAACGAGCAAGACATAGCGAGTCACGACAACAACGGGAACAAGATTTCTTGCTAAACAACAAGTAAGAATTAGAGTAAAGATAGTAAGCTGGAAAAGGCGAGGAGGAAGCCAAAAAGGCGCTGCGAGCGAGCAGTTTACCTGGGCGCGCCAGCTGGCCCTTCACCGCCACCTCCGCCTGCGCCTCCGCCTCGTTTCCCCTTCTTAGGACCCATGAACGCGAGCAAAAGACTGCTTCAACGATTAGGAAACGTAGATAACGAAATATTGCTCTGCTTCTGCAAGAAAGATGAGGAAATGAGGGCGAGAATGGCAAGTGCTGCTGAACGCGTGCACCTCACTTGCCTCCTGACAAGGACGGTTGCCAAAGAATCTCCCGCCCGCCGCACGCACAAACATCGCATGTCCATACATGCCAGGCGAAAGCAGGGTGTACGATCGCTATGAAACATCCTCGATATAAGCTTGTGAATATATACAGAATACATAAAATTCACAGGGGCTGTGACACAAAGAAAACAAGAATATGTGTTAAAAAAATCACCAATAACTCATTAATTTAGACCATTATGTCATTTCCCGCAATGTCATTATTCTTTATCGTTCTATTTGTATAGTATGTGTAACTGGTCTTGTGTAACTGTAATCAGGTGAGTAATGATAGGACTCTCAGTCGCCAGGAGTGACTGTGCTGCCTTTCGCCATTATAACAGGTGTCGACGAATTGTGGTTGGTCCTTTGCACGTCGGCCTAATGTCACAGCGCTCGTACCGAATGCTTCGTTTTCTATTGGCTGACCTATTCGCACTGTGACAATGACGAATGGAGTCTTAGTCAGGGCGCAGGTGAAGAGCCAGCCAGGTTTGCCAACACAACACCGAAATCGCGTACAGTTTGCACCGTCGCAAGTTGCAAGTGCGACCGTCCCCGCTTCCACTCTACGACTCCGTGCGATTTCTGTCGCGTCGTTCACACTGGCTTCCGCGACAAGTTCACAGGTGATTACTGCTCATACACAGCAGTCGCCTGCAGCTTGCTGGTGTCCAAATCGCCCCTCCCCTTCCCCGTACCGCCAGCAGCAGTACCCTTCGTTCGGTCCTACCTGCGAGAAACCGAAACCACATTGACTCGATGAGCTGTCGCCCGCCAATCACACGGCAAATCCCCCTCTTCCTCAAACCCGATTCTCGTCGCCCAGCCAGCCCCACCCCCACCAGCTTCTCCCCTCTTGCACCCCTCACACTTACCACGTTGCACCGCTCGGAAAACTCCTCTTTGCAAACTTGCCGTCTACGCTTTCCTCTCCCTGCCTCCCACCCTCCCCACCGCCATAGCCAAATGATTGTTTCCATGGTTTCCCTCCCTCACGCCACTGTGTTGGTCTGACGGACGGTTGCTTTCCAGGCCTTGTCATCTGTGGTGCAACTGGCTCCAATGTCTACTGTCTTCCGCATTCATAAAATCGAGTTTCCTTGCGCAGATGCATCGTGCAATCATAGTCTAGCTCCGTCCCTCGCTGTTGCCGTAGCGTCCGAAGGAGCAGCATGGTTCGGTAGTGGATAGAAAACGCTTTAAGCTCTTGCGTCTCCCACAAGTTTTGAGTGTGCACCACCGTCGTGACGCCATAGGACCTTAGCGAAGAGTTTAAGTGCGTGCGAGTCGCGCACATAGTACCCAGCTCGGCTTCACGGACTCACACGAGGCGCCGCGATGCTGATTATAGACAACCAGCCGGTTCCGCGCAATCTCGCGGTACGTGCGCTTGACCCGTACGGGAGCGCGTCGAAGAAACTGAGATGGCGTCGACACCTAAACCTGCTTCCGTTTTTTTTTCTTGTATTTCGCTCTCGCCGCTCTAGTCCCACGCTTGTCTGTCGAACGCGCGCTTTACTCCCGTCTTGTCACGTTCCGCTGCACGGCTCATCCCGTTCGTTCAGTCGTCAGCAATCGTCCACTACTCACCACGTCTGCATCACTTCTCCCGTGTCCCTCGTCTCCTCCCTTCAATACCAATGCAAAACCACCCAATCCCCTCCTTCCCCTCCTCTCCCCCTCTCTCTCCCTCCCTCCCCCCACTTCCCACACCTCCCCTTCTCACCCCCTTTTTTTTCTCCTCTCCCCTCTCTTCTCCCTCCTTTCCTACTCCCACCTTTGCCCTCTTCCACTCACCCCGCCCTCCGCCGTGCGACATTTCCGCACCGCGCAGGGCACGGCGCTGCTCCGTTACCTCCTCACGCATCCGAGCCTCGTCGCTGGCTCGGATGAGTTCTTTCGCCGAACCGGCCGCTCAGGCTCGGAAGCCGGTCCTGTCCCTGGTCCATTCCGTGCTAAGCACGATGAAGGAGAGAATTTTGCGCGGCCGGCATGCGGTAGCGACGATCGTTTGTCCGACAGTCATGCTGCCGGCCAGCCGGCAATACAGTCAACCCTCAGCACCCCACCGGCAACTCTTCCCTCCCCCGCCACTCCTTCCGCGCATCTTGGCCCAAACCCTGGGGGATCACGCTCCCCCAGTTTGGCTGCCGCGCGTGCAGCGGAAAAGCTGAGATGCGCGGAGGCGCAAGGAGGCGCAGGGGAGGGGGAAGTGGGGAACCTGCGGAACGCAGGTGGCCGTGACGGCGCCGCGTGTAACGGCGACGTTAACGGTAGCGGGATCTCGGTGTGCCGAGGGCGGGAGGGCGGAGGGGGCGAGTGGATGCGCCGGCAGCGGGACCTGCTGGGCGGCGCGGGGAGCCGCTCTCTCGGCGCGCCACGTGGCGAGGAATCTACTGCTGACACGTGTGATGCTGGCAGTGATGCGCTTCCCCGCGCGATTTGGCGCAGTTTGAGTGCGAGTGTGCTTAAAGCGCGTGATGCTGCAGCGGGGATAACTGGTGGATATACTGTTGGTAGCGGGGCTGCTGGTAACGGTGATGCTGGTAGCACTGCTGACGGTTGTGAGCGCAATGCCGCGCTGCCGCTGGAGACGGCCACGCCTCCGCGTGCCTCCACTCGTGCAGGCGAAGAATGCGCGGCAGGGGTGGCAGGAGAAGCAGTAGCGGCAGCACCAGCGGAGGAAGCGGCACGGAATGCGGAATGCGGCTTGTTCGATCGCCTAAAGTGGCACGGAGATGGGGACGGAGCGCGCAAGCTTGGACCGGGGGAAGGGGCGCGCGCGCAACTAGAGGGGGGCGGTGGGGCGGGAGATTGCGGGAAAGAGGGCGCAAGGAAGGCGGACGGGGGTGAGGCGCAGCAGGGACGGCCGGAGCGGCTGGTGTACGTGGCGCAAGCTGAGGTGGCAACTGCTGACGTGGACCTGGTTGACGTGATAGGCACGGACGAGATGACGACGTGTGTGGCGGTGGCGCTGCGCCATCCGCGCACGGGGCGCACGGCGCTGGCGCACGTGGACGCGTCGCTCTGCGCCCTGCGCGCGCTCGCCACCATGCTCGCCTCGCTGCGCCTCGCCCCGCACGATCCGACTCCCCTGCAGGTATGACGCGCATGTGGGTGTGGCGCACAGGTATGGCATGGTGCCGCAGGCGCATGCTCCCCTGTGGGGACTGGCATGCGTGCGCGCGTGCAAAGCCATTCCTCGTTGCTCGTTGCTTCCCTCTGCCGCGCTTTACCCTCGCTCGTTCGCGATCCACTGCCATGCCTCTGCACTGCATCCCCTCTCTCCCTCTCCTCCCTGCCGGCCTATCCCCGCTTCTCCCTGCCTCTCATTTCCTCTCCCCGTCCTGCCCCCCTCTGCCCATCCGGCCGTGCCTCTCTGTACCCCCCTGGCCCCCCCACAGCTGCACCTGGTGGGCGCGTTTGACGACGACCCGGGGCACACAGAGAGCATCCACGCCGCGTGGGAGGAGGAGCAGGAGAGGCAGGAGCAGGAGCGCGTGCGGCATGAGGAATCACAAGAGCAGCAGCAGCAGGGTTATCAGGAAGGGAGCGGCAGCGGGCGGCAGTCAGGGTGCAAGCGCAGGCGAGCCCCCAGCCCAGCCAGTGGCGGCAGTAACAGGGCCATGCGCGCAGGGCCAGGAGCGGAAGTAGGGGCAGGAGAGAGAGAAGAAGCAGGAGCAGGAGAGGGAGGTGCACATGGCAGCGCCTGGCCACACGGCAACCCATCAAGCCCTGCGGCAGCAGCATCGCCATCCCCAGCCACAGCACCACCCATGCATCCCTTGCACCTGGATGCCACCCCACACCACCACCCCACGCCACTGCACCTCTCCTCCCCTCCACAGCACCTTCCGCCGTCGTCTCTGCTTCCTCCGCTTCCCACCGCCACCCCGAACAGCCCGTACTACAGCCTTTCCCGCGCGGACAGCGCCCCCTTCGCCCCTCCTCTCCCCGCGGGCACGTCCCTGCCAGTAGCCTGCGCGCTGGTGACCGCGCTGCACGCGCTCCCGCGCCTCTTCCGCCTCTGCACGCTCGCGCTCCTCCCCCTCAACACCACGTGGGACCCCTCCCGCCGCGCCCCTGTGCCCCGCACGCGCGGACTGGCGGTCCACGTGGCGTCTGGGGAAGCCTCCCCGCGCGTATTCACCCCAGAAGAGCGCGGGCCTGATGCTGTGCTGCGGAGCGTGCTGCTGTTCTTTGGGGAAGGGGGAGAGGCGGAGGAGGAGGGGAAGGGGGAAGCGGAAGGGGAGGCGGGTGGGTGGTGGAGAGGGGGGTCGGGGGAGGAGGAGCGGTTGGTGGCGGAGGGGCGCGAGGGGGGAGAGGGGGAGGGGCGGGAGGGGCGCCGTGAGGGCAGTGTGTGTACGCCTGAGAAAGGGCGGCCTGTTGATGCTGCTGCACGCACTGGTGGTGGCACTCCGGCTAGCGGCGGTACTGGCAGCACACGCGCACACAGCACTCCCTCCTCCTCCCCTCTCATTCCCTCCTCGCTCTCCTCCTCCTCCCCTTCCCCACTCCTGTCCTCCTCCTCATTCTCCCCTCTCCTTTCCTCTTCGCCGTCTCCCTCCCTACCGCCGCTCGCATCCTCCCCTACTCTGCTCTCCACCCTGCCACCCGCCGCGCTGCCACCGCTCTGCACCGCTCTGTGCGGCCCACTCTGTCCCCAGGGCCGCCTTACCCGCTTCTACGACACTCAAATTGACAGATTCGTGCTGCCGCCCACCAGGTACAGGCAACCTGACACTCCGTTTCATCCTACTGCCTTGCCTCCTGCTACAGCATGTTGCATGTCAGCTCAACAGCTCTCTCCCTTGATTCTCTCCTCGCCAGCCAAACATCTCATCTCTCCATCCTTTACCCCAACCAAGTGTCCTTTCCCTTCCCCCTTCACCCCCTCAGGCTCATGAACGGGGCAGCACTGACCTAGCAGCGCATTAGCATGACAGGTCACCAACTCACCGTCTCGCATCTCTCTCCACTCCTCCCCCCTTCCCCCATTCCCCCATCCCCTCTTTCCCCCTTCTCCCCTTGCTTCCCTTCCCCCCATCAGGCTCATGGATGCAGCAGCACTGGCCCGGCAGCGCCTGAGCATGACGGATCACGAGCTGCTGCACGCCAACTCCACATCGCCACTGGCTGAGGGCCCCGACTTCCTGCCCTTCATCCGCAGGTGAGGACTGTTTGTTGCTGATCCCTAGGGCACCACTAGGGCATGACATTGCAACGAGTAAATGCTCCATGCCATTCCTTCACCTCCTTCACATTACCCATTCCCACACCCCTCCCGCTGCTCTTCACCCTCCCCACACCCCTCCCGCTGCTTTTCACCCTCCCCACACCCCTCCTGCTACGCCTTCCCTCCTTCCTCTTCAGCCTCTTCCTGCTCATGACCCCTCTCCTTTTGTCCCCTCCCCTTCGGCTCCTCCCCTGCCCATCCCTGCAGCTGCTACCGCCTGCTAGCCCAGTCACCAGACACAGACACGCTCTTCCCCAGCGGCGCCCCCCGGGTCTTCACACGCGATCCCTCCTCGCAGTGCTGGCAGCGCGCACCGTCCCCCCTGCCCCCGCGCACGCCGCTCATGCTGTACCGCGCGTACCGCTCGCGGCACCTGCACTCGCTCTCCTCGCTGCTCTGCTCCCTGCCCTGCTGGCCCTGGCTCTGACCGCCATGCTGGTTGCACACTGCTGGCGCTGAGGGTGAGGGGTGATGCTGGTTGCACTGCGACCCGTGGGGATCGCAGAGGGGTTCGTTGAGGTGGAGCAAGCGGAAGTCTCTTATGTGCCGCCGGGGGCACTCAACAAAGCGGATTCTGCACTCCTGGTGATGGTGGTGGTGGGTGCAGTGCTGGCCATGGGGGTCACAGTGGGCTGGTTGTCAGCTGCAAGCTGTGCTGCTGGGAGGCACCCCTTGTGCCGCTCGTGGCATGTGCTGTGCTGTGCTGGGGGCAGGGTGCAGAGTGCAGGTTGCGGGGTGTGGGGTGCAGGGGTCAGTGTGCAGGGTCTGGGTGATACAGCGGTTGACAAGTATGTCAACTGCTACACGAATGTTTGGCCTGGTTGTGCCCATGAATATTAGAACCAACAAATGATGAGAATGGTCACATCAAGGTAGGGCGTGTCTTGCGCCCTTGAGATGCCACTCTCGCTGCAAACGCAGATAATGATGTTACAATCTGTTCCAGGAGAATATTCATTTATTTTGCTGAAAGGAGTCTTCGCTGAAGATGGCTGTGCGTGATGATACGTTACTGTAGAAGGATAACTTGGGGAAATAATCCCTTGCGGAGATGTTCCAGTTCCGCATTACGGCGGAACCTTTTCTGGCGCGCCTGCTGCAGAAGTCTCCCGCCTGGAATTTAAAAAAAGCCGCGCTTCGTCGGGCCCAGCGCAGCTTAGCGGCTACTTTGGACTCCCATCCCGGTGGCGAAAGTCGTCTGACCCCAATACCCTCGAGTTACGCTTTTGTCATTCGCTCGCGAAAGCTTTTCGACGACCTGTGCGGCGGGCGGAGACCAGCGGAAGCCTCTGTTTTGGCGACTCCCTGTCACCTGTTCGTCGCCTCCGTCCAGCTAGCCTCCCAGAGATAGAGTTAACCCGGCGGCGACATTCCCAAGACCCTTCTAGTCACCCCTGCCGAATTCTCCAGTTCATTCATTCATGTCTCTCATAGCTCGTGCTTGTTTCCATGGCTTCCTCATCTCGCCATGGCTGCTGTCGAAATCTCTCAGAGATGTAGGTTACTACGGTTTTTTCATAATCTTAGAAAGATTTATGATAGCTTATCAGCATATAAGCCTTTTTCAGTGGGAGAACTGATAGAGCCGTGTCAGCATATAGCTTCTGTTAGGCTGATCATGTTAACTGCTCGCCTCTTAGCTTATAACCGCGGTAGTTATTATTCGTAACCGATAAGTTAATTCTACCGTTTCAGTTTCCGCGAACACTTCCACGTTAAGTTTCTGATAAACTGATTATCAACCAGTCGTTTTCAGCTCAGCAACATGGTCCGTCACGGTGACGGGTGTTTCCTGATGAAGTTTCCACCGCTCTAGTTGAAGCGTATGTCGCTTCCGTTTCGTTTAAGCGTCGTACCGATATATTCGTACATCCAACTACTCGCCGATGGCTGCTAGTCGCCGATCGCCTAACGTTGAGTCAAGGCATTATGATACGCGAAGTAGCACCGTGTCAGGAATGACATACGAGGCGCTTCTGCTAGCATCTTCAGGCAGCACCGGAAGTACGGAGTGTTATTACGGCAGTTTCCAACAGGGCCGACGGTTTTTACGTCAGATTGGCGCCGTAATGGTCAGAATGGCGAGTGAATCTCAAGTATCAAGGCCACCGGCATCCGGCGTCCGTAATAATCTACGAGCATCATCATCAGCAACAAGAGAATCACCTTCGGGTCGACGGAAGCAGTCTCAAGGCAACCGGCATCCGGCGTCACGGTGACTCACGGCGACACAGTGACACACGGCGGAAACTAATGGGTTAACTGCTCCGAGCAACGGGGTGCAACCTGACGAGCGGCGAAAGACGTGCGGACGAGAAATAATAGCGACTAGCGAATGTCGAGCGGCGAGCAGCAAAGCGAACGGCTAGCGACGATGTGTGGAAGATGGCGACGAACATCGTCGACGTTCCCGAAACCACGTGCGACGTTCCCTGTGCGACGGTGTGTGGACAATTACGACTTCACACGTTTGACCGTGTGCGGAAGACGGCGGCAAACCGCGTAAGGTGTGCGGAAGATGGCGACTTAACGCGTGTGACGATCCGCATGCGGCGCCGTGCGGACGCTGGGCGACATGGCGCGACGATGCGCGGCATGCGACGTACCGCTTGCGACGTTCCCCGTCGTGCGACCGTGTGCAGATGATGGCGACTTACTGCGTGCGAAGTTCCGCGTGCCGGCGCGCTGTGCGGATGCATGCGACGATGTGCGACGAACGGCATGCGACTTACCGCGCGCTTCCGTGTGCGGAAGATGGCGACAAATCACGTGCGAGGCCGTGCAATTTACCACGCGCGACTGTGTGCGGATGATGGCGACGCGTGCTACCTTCCGCGTGCGACGTTGTGCGGATGCCGGCGACGTCCCGTGGCTGGCGCGGTGAACAGCGGTGAAGGCGTGCGGCTGGCGCGGTGAAGAGTGGTGAAGGCGTGCGGCTGGCGCGGTGAAGAGCGGTGAAGGCGTGCGGCTGGCGCGGTGAAGGCGGTTCGGGAACAAGGCAGAATGTGGAGGAGAGGAGAGGAGAGGAGCCAGCAGAGGTGCCAGCAGAGGAGAACTGGAGCACGGGAGCGATTCGGGCGCTGCTGGAGTGCTGCTGGCTGATCCTGGCGCTGCTGAAGTGGACGGGCGCGGTGGGATGACGCACGGCCGGCAGGCACTGGCGTGTGGCTGCCTCTATCCGCCCGCTCGTGGGGCAGCAAGGCATCACTGGCATCTCGTGGCCAGCAAAGCAACTGGAAAGTGTCTTTCCCCTCGCCTTCCCTTCTCGTCACCCTCCATTCGTTTCGTTTCGTCATTCCGTGTTTTCCGCACCTCGTTCTTCACTCCATCGTCCTGCATTTCGTGTTTATGCACGTCCCTCTGATAAGTTCGGCTGCAGCCTAGTAGATGTCCTCCGCGGGTTTTGGGTAGCATAGATTTTGGGTTGGGTACCATAGAGTTTGGGTTTTGGGTAGCATAGCTCCTCCCTCTGCTACCTGCAGCTGACGTATCATGGACGTGCATCCATCCCACCACCTCACCTCGTTTCCACGTGTCGTTCTCCGCATTCAATTTCGCACTTCAATTTTCTACTTTCAATTCCGCATTTCGTTTCCTTGTGTTTGTTTTTCTTTCTTTTTTCATTCCACTGTTCTGTTTACTGACTTAATGCATCTGTCTGTGCGTTCTCTCCCCTTGTTTTTCAGCAACCATGGGTTCTTCACTCGGGAGGAGCAGAGGCGCCTGCAGAGGATGGCAGCAGCGACTCGGGAGGACGGCAGCAGTGAGAGGGAGAAGCGAGCGGTGGGATGACGCACGGCCGGCAGCCACACGGCTGCCTCCTACCCGCCCTGCTGACCACCCGCTCTGCTCGAGGCGGGCACTTCGGGCAAGGAGGCGCGGAGGCAAGGAGGCGGCACTTCAGCAGGCGGACACCAGCGTGCTGCTGAGGGCGAGGAGGTGGTGCTGCTCTGCTGGTGGAGGGAGGCGGGGCTGCTGGTGGAGAGGCGGTGAAGGCGGTTGAGCGATGGCCTGCAAGTGACACCACTCCCACTGAGTCCCCTTCACCCCTTGTTTACTCTCTCTTTCTTGATCTGCCTCGCGGATTTCTCTTTTTTGTCTTTGGAGTTGTGACCGGCGCTCTTGATGAGGCGACTTCCCTCTAGGATGTGAGTGCAACATCAGGTGTGCAAGGTACAACAGCAGGTCCCCGCGGTTTAGACTTAGTACAACTGAAGGTCCCCCCGGTTACCTCTTTAAGCGCTGCTCTTATTTTCTCGTTGCTATTTTTGTTTGTCACTCTTTCTGTCTCATTCGTTATTGCTCTCTTCTTGTTTGCCTCTGTTGCTGTCTCATTCGTTCTTGCTCACCATCCTTGCCATCTCCTACTTGTGTGACATTTTAACGCATCCGTTTTTTAAACCAAAGGCGCGCTCTGTCCAGCTGCTTATCTTCCTTCCCTCTGGGCCTCTCTTGGCTCTTTGGAAGGGCAGCGCGCACGCAAGGGGAGGGCGAGCGTGGTGGGATGACGCAAGGCCGGCCCTTCCCGCCCTGCTGACCACCCGCTTGCAAGGGCGAGGGTGACGCTGCAATGCAAGCTGATGGAGCGAGGCGAGGAGGCGCCTGGAGCGCGGCGAGGAGGCGCCTGGAGCGCAGCGCCTGGAGTGAGGAGGATGACGAGGGCGGATGGCTGACTCAGTGCACGGGCGGGCGGTGAAGGCGGTGCAGCGGTGGCCTGCAGTGGACGCGCGACAACAATCAGCTGCCGGCAACAACAAAACCAATGAGCTTCTTTACCCTTGCCTCCTCACTCTCTTCCTATCTCGATCTATCTCGCTGCCCTTCTCGTTTGTCTTTGAGCTTCCTTACTCTTGCCTCCTCACTCTCTCTCGATCTGTCACCGACGCTCTTGACAGAGGCGGCACCGACACCTTCTCTGGTTTGGATGTGAGTGCATCAGCAGCACGTTTGCCGACTTGTCTCTGATGTTTCTGTCGACGATTGTTGTGAACGCAACTCCTACGTCCTTCTCCTCTGAATGTGAGTGCAACTCCTACGTCCTTCTCCTCTGAATGTGAGTGCAACTCCTACGTCCTTCTCCTCTGAATGTGAGTGCAACTCCTACGTCCGCCTCATCTGGATCTGCGTGCAACGACCTCTGGATGTGAGAGCCAAGTGAGGCGAGGCTAGGCGAGGCGAGGCGAGGCGAGGTGAGACGCAATCCGTGGGTGGATTGAAACTTGTGGGCGCAATTCGTGGGTGGACGCCCTCTCAGGCGGTCCCTAAGCGCGGCGGATGGAAGAAGAGGAGCGAGAGAGGTGGGATGACGCACGGCCGGCAGCCACTGGCATGTGGCTGCCTCCTACCCGCCCTGCTGACCACCCGCTTGCTGGCGGCACGCGAGGCGAGGCGGATGGAGCAAGGATGGAGCGAGCGAAGCTCGTTGTTCCCTTGCGTGTTCTCCCACCTGCACCCTTGGGGTGAGGTGGAGGTGCGAGAAGGAGAGGCGGATAAGCTGAAGGAGGGGGTACTTGGAGGAAGAGGCTGTCGTATGTGGAAGGGAGTAAAAAGCTGGGAGAAAGGTGTGTCTGAGTGGTGATACTTTGATTGGGGGTGGGACCTTCCTCTCATTGCTCTCCTCTCTCACTCCCTCTTGCTCAGCAGAGCCGCGGTAAGCGTGTGTTGGATGCGTTCTGAGATTGGTGGCTGGCCACCCCACTCTTTGGTTCTCATCCTCCCGCTTGTCCCACCAACGCTCAACTCACCCTAAGCATACTTCAGCTCATACTTCCCAGTCAACTCCTCTTTTGGCCTTTGACGCACTCTTGATCAGCACTCGTTGCTGATACCCCTTTAAAAGGGAGTATCAGCAACGCCTGCCATGAGAAGAGGGTATGGGTCCGAGGGAGTGCAGTGTGGTGCCATCAGCAACGCCTACCATGAGGAGGGAGTATGGGTCCGAGGAAGTGCAGTGTGGTGCCATCAGCAACGCCTACCATGAGAAGGGAGTATGGGTCCGAGGGAGTGCAGTGTGGTGCCATCAGCAACGCCTGCCATGAGAAGGGAGTATGGGTCCGAGGGAGTGCACTGCGGTGCCATCAGCAACGCCTGCCATGAGAAGGGAGTATGGGTCCGAGGGAGTGCACTGCGGTGCCATCAGCAACGCCTGCCATGAGAAGGGAGTATGGGTCCGAGGGAGTGCAGTGTGGTGCCATCAGCAATGCCTGCCATGAGAAGGGGGTATGGGGCCGAGGAGAACAGTTTTTTGTTTCTTGTGTTCTTGTTTTTTCCTTGTCGCATGTTTCGTTTTCGTTTGCATTCTGTTTTCCCTTGCACCCTCACCACCAACTTCGTTTCTTTCCTTGTATGTTTCGATTTCTCTTTTGTTTTTTGCATTATCTTTTTGCTCGCATCTTCACCAGCAACATATATTTCTTCTCTCAGACCCCCCTCTTGCATTCCCGTATGGCAGGGTGCAGCATGGGGGAGTGGAGAGCTGCTGAGGGCGGCTGCAGAGCGGGAGGCGCGACAGCAGCAGCTACACGGGAGGGAAGAGGGAGGCGGGTTGGGGTGTGGAGGAGGAGGGAGCAGCAGCACCAGCAGCGCCTTCTTTCAGAAGGGAGCATGGGGCTGAGGGAGGGGAACATTTTCCGCTGTTTTTTCGCTTGCTTTTCATTTCCTTGTCGCGTGTTTCCATTTTTGTAGTTGTTTTTCGCGTTCTCTTGTCACTCGCATCTTCACCAGCAATTTACTTTTCTTTCCTTAGATCACCCTTTTGCATTCCCGTATGGCAGGGCGCAGCATGGCGGAGTGGAGAGCTGGTCGGGGCGGCTGCAGAGCGGGAGGCGCGGCAGCAGCAGCTACACGGGAGGGAAGAGGGAGGCGGGTTGGGGTGCGGAGGAGGAGGGAGCAGCAGCACCAGCAGCGCCTTCTTTCAGAAGGGAGCATGGGGCTGAGGGAGGGGAACATTTTCCGCTGTTTTTTCGCTTGCTTTTCATTTCCTTGTCGCATGTTTCCATTTTTGTAGTTGTTTTTTGCGTTCTCTTGTCACTCGCATCTTCACCAGCAATTTACTTTTCTTTCCTTAGATCACCCTTTTGCATTCCCGTATGGCAGGGCGCAGCATGGCGGAGTGGAGAGCTGGTCGGGGCGGCTGCAGAGCGGGAGGCGCGGCAGCAGCAGCTACACGGGAGGGAAGAGGGAGGCGGGTTGGGGTGCGGAGGAGGAGGGAGCAGCAGCACCAGCAGCGCCTTCTTTCAGAAGGGAGTATGGGGCTGAGGGAGGGGAACATTTTCCGCTGTTTTTTCGCTTTCTTTTCATTTCCTTGTCGCATGTTTCCATGTTTGTAGTTGTTTTTTGCGTTCTCTTGTCACTCGCATCTTCACCAGCAACTTATCTTTCTTCCCTCAGATCACCCTCTTGCATTCCCGTATGGCAGGGCGCAGCATGGCGGAGTGGAGAGCTGGTGGGGGCGGCTGCAGAGCGGGAGCCGCGGCAGCAGCAGCTACACGGGAGGGAGGAGGAGGCGGGTTGGGGTGCGGAGGAGGAGGGAGCAGAAGCACCAGCAGCCTTCTTTCAGAAGGGAGTATGGGGTTCAGGGAGGGGAACCCTTTCCGCTCTGTTTTCGCATGCGTTTCGTTTCCTTGTCGCATGTTTCACTTTCTGGTTTGATTTTTGCATTTTCTTGTCACACATCATCACCAGCAACTTATCTTTCTTTCCGTAGATCCCCCTCTTGCATTCCTGTATGGCAGGGTGCAGCATGGAGGAGTGAAGAGTTGGTGGGGGCGGCTGCAGCGCGGGAGGCGCGGCAGCAGCAGCTACACTTGAGGGAGGAGGAGGGAGCAGCAGCACCAGCAGCCTTCTTTCAGAAAGGAGTTTGGGGCTCAGGGAGGGAAACATTCTCCGCTCTGTATTCACATTCCGCTCTGTTTTCGCATGCTTCTCGTTTCCTTGTCGCATGTTTCAATTTCTGTTTTGTGCTTTGCTTTTTCTTTTCACTCGCATCTTCACCAGCAACTAATCTTTCTTTCCGTAGATCCCTCTCTTGCATTCGTGTACGGCAGAGAGGATGGAGGCGGGTTGGAGTGCGGAGGAGGAGGGAGCAGCAGCTGTCACCAGCAGCGCCTGCTTTCACAAGGGAGCTGAGGGAGGGGTGAGGGGTGGGGAGTGAGGTCCTTGTGTGCTGTTCTTGAGGCGCCTCAAGACAGCTGTGAACTGCCGGTGGCGGTTCTGTTCTGTTCACTGCAGTGCACCGCAGCTTGTCGTTCTGTTTCCGTTCCGTCAGTCCGTTCCATTGGTCCCTGATTTTTGAGAGACGTCTCAAAACTCGTGTGCTCCTCACTGCAGAGTCGCTGCAGTGAGCAAACTCCGGGTTTTGGGAGAAGCCTCAAAACCCATTTCTCTTATTCCTCACAACAGCCTAGCTGCAGTGAGAAAAATTACTCAGCTGGTCAGGCAGCACGACTGGGCAGCAAGGACGGGCAGCACCTGCTTTGAGGATAGTTTTCATCTGCCCCCAGGCATTTTGCATTGTGTTTTTTCTCTCTCTCCCCCCTCCCAACAGGGTCCTAAGCGGTGGTTCCCACCTCACCGTGGTGCTTGGGTATAACGTCAGGAGCTCTGCTCCTGGCGGCCAAGAGGAACCCCCCATGCACACCTACAGTGCACGGGTAGTACAATAGTATACTATCTAGTATGGTAGACTATTATTAATATCTAGTTCTCAGTTAGATCAATCAATTTTTGATACCGAGAGCAGTAAATACAAGTTTTAGTGAACATGGACTCTTTGGTTGAATATTTGTTCCTGAGATCTCTCAACTGGATCAAATTTGAATATTGATATCATTATGGAGCATTTATATGTAACGCTGAAACTGATAGTGATCAAATTGTATAGCAATAATATAGTGATACAGAAACTCTAAAGTGATTTTCTGCACAACGTTCCGCGACGTCTATTTCTCAACAATTTCGAACGCGCCGCAGTCTCTGCAATCCTGATCATGTCGGGCAGATCTTGTACTCAGTCGATGTTTGGTACTCCGATATCCTCGGCGACTCGTCAAGCCTCTATTTGTCTCGCCTTCTCGGTTCTCATGTCGACTCCACGCGGCGCACGCGAGTGTACAGATGACGCGCATTTGTTACTGGCAATCCTCGTTACAAGGATGCAAGACTAGGAAGAGTTTCGACCGCAGCAAGCCTACGGGTCTCAAAAATCGCTGCTGGCGGCCAACGTGGAACGATTCGTTAGATTCGGACTCGTCAACGGTCGATTCTAGGTCACGCGTAGAAACGACGCGGCGCGATGCTCCCTGCTTCTCCGTAAAGCTCCCTGCTTCTCCTGCTTCTACGAATTTGCGGGCCTAGGGAGCATCAACGGCGCGTTCACCTCACCGCGCCAGCGTCATGCTCGCCTTCCACACTCAGCATGATCGCTGGTGCGTGTGTCTGTCTGGTTTTGGCACGCGCTGCATGCTCATAGGGACCTAGCGGTGACTGGTGATGTGTCCTGATGCACCGCGTGCTCGCCTTCCACTCTCTCGCCCGGAAGCTCTCTGCCGCTCAGCTGGCAGACTTGCCGGAGGGCTCACTGGTGCGTTCACGCTGTGCTTCTTCTGGCGGTTACTGTCCCTCGGTTGGCGTTTCGCATGCCCTGCGTTCAGCTTCATGCTCCGCGTGCACGTATGCCGCTCCGTGGTGTCTGGGTGCTGGGCGTGCACCCTAGAGAGGTGAATTCGCTCATGTACGCACCGCACCGGTGAAATTCCTGGTTTTTTTTTGGGATTTCACTCTTCTACTCAGATCCCTCCCCGTCACTCCCTTTCTTTCCACTACCCTCCCCCGTCTCACCTCACGTCCCCATTCTCCCTTTCCACCCTCGTCTCCTCTCGTCAACCCATCTCCTCCCATCCCACACCCCCCATTCTAAAAGACGCTGAGAGGGCCCCATGGTGGAGCAAGCTGGTGGGTGTGGAGCAGTGGAGAGCGGTGCTGCACGATGCGTCCTTCAGTCTCTGTCCGCAGCGTGCCATGGGGCGATGCTGAGGCTGCCTGTACCTGCTGGAGAAGCAGGTGAACCTTTGTCTGAAAGGTATCCCTTGGGCTGTTGCCTGTATCCTTCAGTCGATTGAAAAAACTGCCGCCTTTACCTGCTGGAGAAACAGAAATTGCTGCTCGGCTCTATCAGGCTTATCTCCCAGAGCAGCTCAAGTTTTTGCGTGAATTTCGAGTCGTTATAAGAATATAATATTGAGCCGAGACAGAAATAGCTGCCTATACCCGCAGGAGAGACAGTTAGGTTTTCTCGTGCGGTATGCTGTTTTTTCATTCTCTGTCTGCTTCGCTTTCACTCAGCACTCTTCCATTCTGAGATGTCTCAAATCTCGATTCTACCATCCCTTCCCCCATTCCTTATACCGTACCATCCACCATCCCGTCCCCCATTCCCCACACCATACCATGCCCCATCCCATCCCCACCCGCCAGGTCTTAGAGTACTGTCTGCTCCGCCTTGACTCGCCAATCTTCAACGCGCCGCCTGCCGAACCTCTTGCCGACCCTGTCACCGAGCCTGCCGCCCTGCCGTTCACAGCCACGGGCAAGCTCACCTACTCGCACGGCATGCACCTCAAATACGCCGTCAGTACCTCCCCTTCCCTTCCCTCTCTCCTCTCCCTCCCCTCGCCTCCCCTCCGCTCGCCTCCCCTCACCTCCCCTTGCATTGACCAATTCTGATCCGCCTTAATCGAACGTGACTGGCGATGATTGACTCTCAGCCCGTGCTCATTGACTTAGAAGATTGTTCTCAAACGTTGCAGGACACGCGGAACAACCGCGCATGGAAGTCACAGCACCTTCAATACATGCGTGCAGTGCAACAGTCTTTGCGCATGCTCTGTATTCTTGCCCTGCCAAACATGCCGCGCCCCTAAATGGCTTACATCCACCCCCTTCTCTCCGCCCCCCCCGTCCTTTCCCCCTCCCCCCTTTCCCTCACCTCGTCACAGACGTCAGCATGGGGGACCATGTTTTACTGACGTCAGCATGGGCGACCATGCTTCACAACCTCGACGCTCACATGCATGCCCAGATCGACTGTCTCCTCGCATCCTCCCACCCACCCAATCCCTCCGCACTGCTCCCCACCCCTCCGCCCTTCCCCTCATCCCTCCTCGCCACCACCACTGCCTTCTGGGCTGGAGCCCTCGACCCCTCGGACCCCTCCCCCTCCTCCTCCCTCTCCTTCTTCTCCTCCTCTTCCTCCTCTTCCACCTCTTCCTCTGCTGCTCATCCCACCTCTCCTCGCTTCCCCCCCAGTGCGGCGGCAGCAGCGGAAGCGGCAGTGGCAATGACGGGGGGACCGGGGGAATGCTTTCCAAAGCTGAGGGCGATGGCGCAGGTGCTGCTGCTGCCTAAGGACTTGTTGGCTGACCAGGAAAGAGGTGAGGAATGAGGTTGGGGTGGGGAAGAGGGTGGGAAGGGAAGTGGGGTCGGGGTGGTTTGAGGCGCCTCAGAAATTGCACCAGACGGGAGGTGGGTGGGTGGGTGGGTGGGGGGCTGCTGCTGCTGTGGCTGCTGCTGTGGCTGCTGCTGTGGCTGCTGCTGTGGCTGCTGCTGTGGCTGCTGCTGTGGGTGCTGCTGTGGCTGCTGCTGTGGCTGCTGCTGTGGCTGCTGCTGTGGGTGCTGCTGTGGGTGCTGCTGTGGGTGCTGCTGTGGCTGCTGCTGTGGCTGCTGCTGTGGCTGCTGCTGTGGCTGCTGCTGTGGCTGCTGCTGTGGCTGCTGCTGTGGCTGCTGCTGTGGCTGCTGCTGTGGCTGCTGCTGTGGCTGCTGCTGTGGCTGCTGCTGTGGGTGCTGCTGTGGCTGCTGCTGTGGGTGCTGCTGTGGCTGCTGCTGTGGGTGCTGCTGTGGCTGCTGCTGTGGCTGCTGCTGTGGCTGCTGCTGTGGCTGCTGCTGTGGGTGCTGCTGTGGCTGCTGCTGTGGGTGCTGCTGTGGGTGCTGCTGTGGGTGAGGGCCATGGCGCAGCGCAGGTGGTACTGCTGCCTAAGGACCTGATAGCCAACCAGGAGGCGAGGAAAGAGGTGAGAGGAATGTGTGGGATGGAATCACATGCACCACATGAACCACATGCGCCACGTGCATCACACACATCACAAGTATCACAGCGCATGCTCATATCCATAGAATACGCCACGTGCATCACACACATCACAAGTATCACAGCGCATGCTCATATCCATAGAATACGCCACGTGCATCACACTTGCAATTATTGATATACCATGTGTGTCTGTGTGTGTGTGTGTACGTGTGTCTGTGTGTGTGTGTGTACGTGTGCCTGTGTGTGTGTGTGTACGTGTGCCTGTGTGTGTGTGTGTGTGTACGTGTGTCTGTGTGTGTGTGTGTACGTGTGCCTGTGTGTGTGTGTGTACGTGTGCCTGTGCGTGTGTGTGTACGTGTGCCTGTGTGTGTGTGTGTACGTGTGTCTGTGTGTACGTGTGTCTGTGTGTGTGTGTGTACGTGTGCCTGTGTGTGTGTGTGTACGTGTGCCTGTGCGTGTGTGTGTACGTGTGCCTGTGCGTGTGTGTGTACGTGTGCCTGTCTGTGTGTGTGTGTACGTGTGCCTGTGCGTGTGTGTGTACGTGTGCCTGTGCGTGTGTGTGTACGTGTGCCTGTGCGTGTGTGTGTACGTGTGTCTGTGTGTACGTGTGCCTGTGCGTGTGTGTGTACGTGTGTCTGTGTGTGTGCCTGTGCGTGTGCAAATCTGATGTGCATGTATGCGTGGTGTGCATGTGTGTGTGCACACATGATGACTTTTGAGTCGACTCAAAAGTCACCTCGTTACTATGGCACACGACATTTTTTCATCAAGGAGAGCTATAATCGCATGGAGATTACCTAAGAGAGTTGGCATTTATTTGATTTCTGCTAATAAGTGTTAGACTACAGTAGTTTTGTTGCTGTTACACTTTTTCTCTCATCTCGCTTTTGCCTGTTGTTCCCGTACTCGCCGCAGCGAAGATTTCCCGCGCGAGCCTGAGTCTAGGATGACATTTTCTAGGCATATAAAGTAGTACGCGTTCAGTAGATCGCTTGTGGTCTGAAGAAGGCATTTTAGCCGAAACCGGTTACCACCGTGATTTTTATACAAGCATTTTTTACAAAGTACTACTGACATTTTACAGGTGTTGAACCCAAGTTGCTGCCACGTATTAAAGCAATGGCACCTAACTGGTGTCCACTTCCGCTGATACCTGATACTACTGCGATGGCCAACTACACATTTGTTGCAACCAATGCAACCAACACCAATGCAAACCAAGACAACACCAAGATTATCCACGCTCAACGTCACGCGCGTCTCTCGAAGTCCAAGAACACGAGAGCCAGCCGTGATGATAAAGAGCTGGTTGGAGTCCTGAAGATTTCAGAGTCTCCTTCTTTTCGATCGAGCAAGAGAAAAGCCTGCGACACTTCAGTCCCTGCTTCTACTTCTGCAGCAACCGTCCCTGCTATCAGACCTGCCGTTGAGCCCGCTGAAAGGCCTTCGAAGGAACCTGAATCTGCAACCATGGCGACGCTGCGACAAGAGTCTGCTCATCAGATCCACGACACTGTCATGCTGGATTCGTTCGATTTTCTTGGTGACATTAACAACCTTTTCCTTGAAAAGCAGGCGACGCCTACCTGCCTTGAGGATTTTAAGCTGCAAGCTGTTAAGGATTTCAAGAAGAATTTCCTGAAATACCGGACTCTGAGCCTGCAGTACACCTTTATGGAGGAGCAGAAAACTAACGGGATCATTCCCCATAGTATTCGGATCAAGCCTTTCGCTTTCGTCTGCCACTCCGAAGAACTCCGTCAGGAAGCCGATAAGGAACTCCAAGCCGCCTGTTTGAACTACTGCAAGGGAGCACAGGACGTTCTGATTTCAATGAAGAAGAAAGCTGCTGAGCAGGCACGCAATGATACTGCTGCTGTTTACCAGCGTCTTCAGGATCAGATCGCGAACTACATCAACCTTGCTAAGAAGACTGACATCGGCACCAAAAACTCGAAGCTGACTGACAACCTTACTTTTTTTAAGGATCGCGTGATTTCTGAGTTTAAGGACGCTATGTCGGTTTTTGTGATGGAGACTAACCTTTCGGAAATTCATGTGAAGGAGCAGAAGAAGGAGATTGATGAGAAAAAGGCTGCTGCTGCTGAGGAAGCCGAGAATCTGCCTGTTGATCCCTCCGTTCGTGAGATCGCCAAACAGGAGGTTGCGAAGGCTGTTGCTAAGCTCAAGTCTACTCCTCCTCCTCATCACCGCCGTGCCGCTGCTAACAACGCTGCTAACAACAATGACAAGAAGAAGAACATGAAGCAGAAACAGGTGAAGCAGACGAAGCAGAAGAAGACTTTCCCGGTTAAGAATAACCGGAAGCCTTTTGCCGTCAATGCTGCTAAGAAGCCGAACACCGCTGCTGCTAAGAAACCGACCAATGGGAAGAAGCGCAAGAATGGGTCTACTAACCATTCTGGTCGCGCTTTCACGAAGGCTGCAGGACGCAGCGTGAATCACCCGACGAAGAAGACCTCTCCGGCAAAAAACGGGGGAGGTTCCGGCCGCGGCGGAACTGCTCGACAGTAATCAACGACGTCCACGCTTACGCACTGATCATCTTCGGCCGACAAACTGAGAATCAGCTGCGTTGCCGTGTGACGAACCGCGGAATTCACAACTTCAGTGATCATGTCTTCACCCGTGACGAACTCAACCTTTTGAGCCTCGGTTTCAAATTCATCCCAACTCCATCCATCCGATCCATTGCTAGCGTAGACGAGGAGCTTGTTTCTTTCATTAGGAGCATTCGAACCATGTATCTTTTCGGAGGATCTAATCTCGTTTCTGATTATCCAGGCTATAAATTCCCAAGGAGAACGAATTGGAATCCACCGCCAGCCTCAGCCGAGATCGAAACAGCCCTAGCGGTTTTTAAAGACTCGGTTATTAAGGACATCTGCGGACGACCGTATCAGAGACATCCCCGAAAGAACTATGTTCCCGTTCTCCGTCGCCTTGCTAGCAATCCTAACCTCATTTTTAAGCCTGCAGATAAAAACCTCGGACTAACAGTGATGAGCAGGGACTTTTATCAAGACCAATGTTTTAAACATCTTCTTAATAATAAAGTCTACCGCGAATACTCTACAGTCCCGATTAAAGACATCCTGCAAGGCCTTCATTCTATTCATTCCGACTATGAGCCGCTTCTACCTAAACGGATTTGGACTTCTTTTTTCAATAAGCCCACTAACGGCTGGAAGGTACCTGCCTTCTACGTTTTATTGAAGATCCATAAAAAAATCCCTGCTGGAAGACCTATAGCGGCCTGTCATTCCTGGATCACATCCAACGTCTCTCGCTGGCTTGACTCTGTTCTAAGACCCTTAGTGCTGGAGCAGACGACTTACGTTAAAGATTCTCAGAGCCTTATACTTCAGCTTGAGCAACGGCGTTTTTCGAACAACCTTTTCCTTGCCTCATATGACGTCGAATCTCTCTACCCCTCTATTCCTTTACTGGATGGCATTGACGCTGTTTCCTATTTTTTACAGAAAGCAAGACACCCTTTAGCCCCGTTAATCACCCGCCTACTTCGATGGGTTATGTTTAACAGCTATGTCTCTTTCAACGGCAGATTTTTCCGCCAAATCCACGGCACTGCTATGGGAACCTCAGTCGCAGTCTGCTTCGCGGTTCTTTTCATGAGTTTTTTGGACATTCAACTACACTCATCCATCCCTTCACCTCCTGCCCTCCACCTTCGTTTTATCGACGACGGTCTGATTTTATGGGAAGGGAGGCGGGAAGAATTTCAACGGCTGAAAGAGCGCTTCGACTCTCTTCACCCGTCAATTCGTCTGACCTGGGTCCTCTCTGAGTCCACCATGGACTTTTTGGATGTGACCTTTTTCAAGGGGGAACGCTTCAGCAAAACCGGAATTCTGGATGTGAAGCTGTTTCAAAAACCCATGAATCGGTACTTATACCTTCCTTTCAGGTCTTACCATACCCGTACAACCAAACAGGGTTTCATTCGCAGTGAACTTCATCGTTTCCTACTGCGCTCATCTTCTCGTACTGACTTTTACAACTCCCGCGCCCTCTTCTTTGCTCGGCTGCGAGCTCGAGGATACCCGGAGAGATTCCTTTTACCAATCTTCAAGTCAGTCTCGTTCGCCTCTCGGGGGGAATTTCTTTACCGTGCCTCTTCCATTCGCGATTCTCCTAAACGTGGCCCCCTTGTGCTGAAATCGCTTCTCAACCCGCTGGTTGACCGTTCGCACATGGGGAAACTTTTGAGTCGACTCAAAAGTCACCTCGTTACTATGGCACACGACATTTTTTCATCAAGGAGAGCTATAATCGCATGGAGATTACCTAAGAGAGTTGGCAGTTATTTGATTTCTGCTAATAAGTGTTAGACTACAGTAGTTTTGTTGCTGTTACACTTTTTCTCTCATCTCGCTTTTGCCTGTTGTTCCCGTACTCGCCGCAGCGAAGATTTCCCGCGCGAGCCTGAGTCTAGGATGACATTTTCTAGGCATATAAAGTAGTACGCGTTCAGTAGATCGCTTGTGGTCTGAAGAAGGCATTTTAGCCGAAACCGGTTACCACCGTGATTTTTATACAAGCATTTTTTACAAAGTACTACTGACATTTTACAGGTGTTGAACCCAAGTTGCTGCCACGTATTAAAGCAATGGCACCTAACTGGTGTCCACTTCCGGTGTACGTGTGCCTGTGCGTGTGCAAATCTGATGTGCATGTATGCGTGGTGTGCATGTGTGTGTGCACACATGACAACAGGTGTGTGGCGATCTGACTCTGGCATTGCTACGGCGCATTCTCCTCATCTTCGCTCCGGACGGACGCCAATGCACCCGACCCCGTCTCCTCCACCCTGCTGCAGCAGCTCAACAGCGAGGTCAGTCATGCCTCTCCATCGCGCCATGTCCATCCCTCACAACCACACCTCATTCCCCCTCACCTTACTGAATCTCATGCCCTCACTCACAGATAGAGCGTCGACTCACATAGATAGAGCGTCGAGGTGGGTTGGGTCACACATGGGGTTTCAAAACAGACCAAAGTTGGGTCACAGCACGCATAGCCCAGATGGGTCACAGCACGCATAGCCCAGATGGGTCACAGCACGCATAGCCCAGATGGGTCACAGCACGCATAGCCCAGATGGGTCACAGCACGCATAGCCCAGATGGGTCACAGCACGCATAGCCCAGATGGGTCACAGCACGCATGGCCCAGATGGGTCACAGCACGCATAGCCCAGATGGGTCACAGCACGCATAGCCCAGATGGGTCACAGCACGCATGGCCCAGATGGGTCACAGCACGCATGGCCCAGATGGGTCACAGCATGCATAGCCCAGATGGGTCACAGCACGCATGGCCCAGATGGGTCACAGCACGCATGGCCCAGATGGGTCACAGCATGCATGGCCCAGATGGGTCACAGCATGCATAGTCCAGATGGGTCACAGCACGCATGGCCCAGATGGGTCACAGCACGCATAGCCCATATGGGTCACAGCACGCATGGCCCAGATGGGTCACAGCACGCATGGCCCAGATGGGTCACAGCACGCATAGCCCAGATGGTGATGGAGACGCTGGTGACTTGAGCATCGACTTGAGCATCGACAGGTGGTTGGTTGAGCTCCATTAGCCTCCACTCCACTGCTGCATCATCCCACGCCCCTTTGCCCCTCTCTCCTCATCCACCACCGCTCTCTTTTCCATGATCCGCATTCATCCTCCTTCTTCCCAACTACCCTTGAACTACGTGACCTTCTCCCTCCCCTCACCGCCCCCACCGCACCACAGGTGTCACGCCTGGTGGTCGACTCGCCTGCCTTCCTGCAGGAGGAACGTCCTCTCCCTCATCCCATCCCCTTCTCCCTCATTCCATCCCCATCAGCTTACACCATCAGTTTCCCCATCGGTTTCCCCATCAGTTTCCCCCATCAGTTCCCCCCATCAGTTTCCCCCATCAGTTTCCCATCAGTTTCCCCCATCAGTTTGCCCCATCAGTTTCCCCCATCAGTTTCCCCCTCCGATTCCCCCACCCGATTCCCCTTCCGGTTCCCCCTCCGGTTCCCCCTCCGGTTCCCCCTCAGGTGCCCCCTCAGGTTCCCCATCAGATTCCCCATCAGGTTCCCCATCAGGTTCCCCATCCGGTTCCCCATCAGGTTCCCCATCAGGTTCCCCATCAGGTTCCCCATCAGGTTCCCCACCCATCAGGATCCCCATCAGGTTCCGCATCAGGTTCCGCATCAGGTTCCCCATCAGGTTCCCAATCAGGTTCCCCATCAGGTTCCGCATCAGGTTCCCATCAGGTTCCCCATCAGGTTCCCCATCAGGTTCCCCATCAGGTTCCCCATCAGGTTCCCCATCAGGTTCCGCATCAGGTTCCGCATCAGGTTCCCCCCATCAGGTTCCGCATCAGGTTCCCCATCAGGTTCCCCATCAGCTTCCCCATCAGCTTCCCCATCAGCTTCCCCATCAGGTTCCCCATCAGCTTCCCCATCAGGTTCCCCATCAAGTTCCCCATCAGGTTCCGCATCAGGTTCCGCATCATGTTCCCGATCAGGTTCCCCATCAGGTTCCCCATCAGGTTCCCCATCAGGTTCCGCATCAGGTTCCCCATCAGGTTCCCCATCAGGCTCCCCATCAAGTTCCCCATCAGGTTCCCCATCAGGTTCCCCATCAGGTTCCGAATCAGGTTCTCCATCAGGTTCGCCATCAGGTTCCCCATCAGGTTCCCCATCAGGTTCCCCATCAGGTTCCCCATCAGGTTCCCCATCAGGTTCCCATCAGGTTCCCCATCAGGTTCCCCATCAGGTTCCCCATCAGGTTCCCCATCAGGTTCCCCATCAGGTTCCACATCAGGTTCCCCACCCTTCAGATTCCCCATCAGGTTCCGCATCAGGTTCCGCATCAGGTTCCGGATCAGGTTCGCATCAGGTTCCGCATCAGGTTCCACATCAGGTTCCCCATCAGGTTCCCCATCAGGTTCCCCATCAGGATCCCCACCAGGTTTCCCATCAGGTTCCCCATCAGGTTCCCCATCAGGTTCCCCATCAGGTTCCCCATCAGGTTCCCCATCAGGTTCCCCATCAGGTTCCCCATCAGGTTCCCCATCAGGTTCCCCATCCGGTTCCCATCAGGTTCCCCATCAGGTTCCCCATCAGGTTCCCCATCAGGTTCCCCATCAGGTTCCCCATCAGGTTCCCCATCAGGTTCCCCATCAGGTTCCCCATCCGGTTCCCATCAGGTTCCCCATCAGGTTCCCCATCAGGTTCCCCATCAGGTTCCCCACCCATCAAGTTCCCCATCAGGTTCCCCATCAGGTTCCGCATCAGGTTCCGCATCAGGTTCCCCATCAGGTTCCCCATCAGGTTCCCCATCAGGTTCCCCATCAGGTTCCCCATCAGGTTCCCCATCAGGTTCCCCACCCATCAGGTTCCCCACCCATCAGGTTCCCCATCAGGTTCCCCATCAGGTTCCCCATCAGGTTCCCCACCCATCAGGTTCCCCACCCATCAGGCTCCCCATCAGGTTCCCCATCAGGTTCCCCATCAGGTTCCACATCAGGTTCCCCATCAGGTTCCCCATCAGGTTCCGCATCAGGTTCTCCATCAGGTTCGCCATCAGGTTCACCATCAGGTTCCCCATCATGTTCCGCATCAGGTTCCCCATCAGGTTCCCTATCAGGTTCCCCATCAAGTTCCCCATCCGGTTCCCCATCAGGTTCCCCATCAGGTTCCCCATCAGGTTCCCCATCAGGTTCCCCATCAGGTTCCGCATCAGGTTCCGCATCAGGTTCCCGATCAGGTTCCCGATCAGGTTCCCCATCAGGTTCCCCATCAGGTTCCGCATCAGGTTCCCCATCAGGTTCCCCATCAGGTTCCCCATCAAGTTCCCCATCAGGTTCCCCATCAGGCTCCCCATCAGGTTCCCCATCCGGTTCCCCATCAGGTTCCCCATGAGGTTACCCATCAGGTTCCCCATCAGGTTCCGCATCAGGTTCCCCATCAGGTTCCCCATCAGGTTTCCCATCAGGTTCCCCATCAGGTTCCCCATCAGGTTCCCCATCAGGTTCCCCATCAGGTTCCCCATCAGGTTCCCCACCCATCAGGTTCCCCATCAGGTTCCACATCAGGTTCCGCATCAGGTTCGCATCAGGTTCCCCATCAGGTTCCCCATCAGGTTCCCCTGGGCAGTATGCATTGTGTTTTTTTTCTCTCTCTTTCTCCCCCCCCCCCCAACAGGGTCCCAAGCGATGGTTCCCACCTCACCGCGGTGGGTGTAACGTCAGGAGCTCTGCTCCTGGCGGCCAAGAGGAACCCCCCATGTATACCTACAGTGCATGAGTAGTCAAGTAGTGTACTATCTAGTGTAGCAGATTATCAACATCTAGTTCTCAATCAGATCAGTTACCGGTACTATTTGATACTGAGATCAGTAAACGGAACTTCTAGTGAACATGGACCCTTTGGTACTGAGATATCTCCACTGGATCATAATTACTGTACTGATATCAGTACGGAGCATCAGTATGTACTTATGAAATTGATACTATTAAACTTATGGTAAGCCACTTCGTCACCCCGCATTTGTAAAAATACCTGATAAGTCAGCATTCAAACAAAGTTTTGCACTGATGCAAGAGTAAGCCTGTCCGCACAGCACTGAAAAACTCAGCCACCACCGAAATGACTTCAATAGCACAGCTTGATCGGATCAAACGTCGCATCCCCTGCACTCTTCACCCCAGCCCCCCCCCCGAACTCCCCCTGGTGCTGCACATTGTACGCTCGGTGCTCTGTGTGCATATATGGTAGTGGTGGAAGGCTGGAAGACTCTCTGCGGCCTCTCTCTTCAACCACGTACCACCCATCCATATCCCTCCACACCCCTTCAATAGCACAGCTTAATTGGATCAAACGTTGCCTCTGCTGCACTCTTCCTTCCCTGCCCAAACTCTTCCTGGTGCTGCACATCATAGCCCCGTGCTCTATGTGCATATAGTGGTGGAAGGCTGGCAGACTCTCCGTTCAGTTCAACCACGTACCACCCATCCACATCCCTCCACACCCCTTCAGTAGCACAGCTTGATGGGATCAAACGTCGCCTCCTCAGCACTCTTCACCCGTCCAAACTCTTCCTGGTGCTGCACGTTGTATGCTCGGTGCTCCGTGTGCATGTAGTGGTGGAAGGCTGGCAAGGAGCGCACTGAAGCAATGTAGGGCAGCAGCAGGCGAATGCTGTCCGCTTCCTTGCTTTGCCGGGCCTGGGAGAGGGGGAGAATGAGAGTATAAGGAAAGAATGAGATAGGTGCTGCGTGTGCATGTAGTGGTGGAAGACTGGAAGGGAGCGAACCGACGCAATGTAGGGCAGCAGCAGACGAATGCTGTCCGCTTCCTTTCTTTGCCGGGCCTGGGAGGGATGAGGGATTGAGTAGAGAAGGGAGAAGTATTGGGTAGGGTGCTGTGTGTGCATGTAGTGGTGGAAGGCAGGAAGGGAGCGCACTGACGCAATGTAGGGCAGCAGGAGGCGAATGCTGTCTGCTTCTTTTCTTTGCCGGGCCTGGGAGGAATGGGAATTGAGCAGACAAGGGAGAATTGGGAGGGGTGCTCTGTGTGCATGTAGTGGTGGAAGGCCGGCAAGGAGCGCACTGAAGCAATGTAGGGCAGCAGCAGTTGAATGCTGTCCGCTTCCTTGCTTTGCCGGGCCTGGGAGGGATGGGGATTGAGAGGGAGATGGAGTAAGAGGAGGGAAGTGTTGGGAAGGATGCTCCGTGTGTATGTAGGGGTAGAAGGCTGGCGGGGAGCGCACTGATGCAATGAAGAGCAGCAGCAGGCGAATGCCAGAGGGGAGGGGGATACAGAGCAGGGAGTGTTGGGAGTGGTGGTGGGGAACAGGACGAGGCAGGAAGAAGATGCAGACATGCCATGCACTGCTGCAGCAGGCGAATGCTGCCCGCCTCCTTGCCTAAGCTCGGCTGAAAGGGAGGAGGGAGGGGAGAGCAGGCTTGGATGGGAGTGGTGTGAATTAGTGCTGCAAACAGTGATGCCGTGCACATGCCATGCAGGTGACATGGCTATTCCATGCAGATGGTGTGTGTAGAGGGTTGTGTACGGGATGGGGTAACTACTCATGCTGATTCCAAGTAGATGGTGTGTGTAGGGCGGAATGGATTCACCTGAACCATGTGAGGGTAGTGGTATGTGTAATGGCGCATGGATGGGGAGGGAAGCACCTGAATCATGTCAGGGTTGATTCCGGCATCCGATGCACTGATGAACCGAATCTCATAGCCCTGCTCCAACGGATCCCCAGGTGACGCCACCTGAGAAACCACCTGATCAGGTGAATCCCCCAACGGAGCCCCATTCCCCTCTGCCTTCCCCCCACACTGTCCTGCAGACCACCCTCCCCTGAATGCACCTTCCCCCTCCACAGTCTCCTCTTTTCCGTCCGCCCTTCCCCCATGGTCCCTCCAGGGGGGAATGTACTCCTCCCATTGGCCGTGTGGTGGCCGCAAGGGGGAGAGGGGGAGGAAGGAGGAGGAGGAGGAGGAGGAGGAGGAGGAGGAGGAGGAGGAGGAGGAGGAGGAGGAGGAGGAGGAGGAGGAGGAGGAGGAGGAGGAGGAGGAGGAGGAGGAGGAGGAGGAGGATGGTGAAAGCAGCGGAGGAGAGTGAGGAGAGCGCGGAAGAGAATGCGCCGAGCCATGCAGGGAGAAGATCCAGTGGAAGATGAGGGCGGAGCGCGGCATGTGGAAGGCGGACGTGAGCACCAGCAGGCGCTGCCAGCGCCGCGGCACTGCATGCCACACGAGCGAGAAGAAGCCATTTGCCACGGTGTCGTACGACGCCCACTCCTTGTAGATGTGTGCGGAGGGAATGCCGTGCTGAGGGGGGGAAGAGCAGGAGGGGGGAACAGTGGGGAGGGACCGTTTTGAGGGGCCACACGAGGGAGAAGAAGCCGTTTGCCACGGTGTCGTACGACGCCCACTCCTTGTAGATGTGTGCGGAGGGAATGCCGTGCTGAGGGGGGGAAGAGCAGGAGGGGGGAACAGTGGGGAGGGACCGTTTTGAGGGGCCACACGAGGGAGAAGAAGCCGTTTGCCACGGTGTCGTACGACGCCCACTCCTTGTAGATGTGTGCGGAGGGGATGCCGTGCCGTGCTGTGGGGGGGGATGGGGCGGAGAGGTGTGGCAGGCGGCTGTGTTGATGCATGAGCAACGTTCTAAACAGGAATCTATTGCGCAGCATTGCACTCACCACTTCTCAGTCACATAACCTCCCTCCTTGGGTGTACGCACCCTCCCCAGGCGCTACCTTGCTACCTTGTCACTGAGCTACAGCGACCTGCCCCAGATGCTACCGTTCCACCCAAGACTGAACTGCACAGCATCTCTCACGCTCTCACTCACCCTCGAACCCTCTGTCGCTCGAACTCACTAACACTCTGACTCGCACATTCTCAACACGAGGAACTGTTACCTGCCCTAGATGTTACGTGTCCCAGATGCTACCTCCTCCAAACGCTACCTGCCCCAAACGCTACCTGCCCCAAACGCTACCTTGTCCATGAGGTACTGAGCGCACGCGCTGCTCTCATGCCACATGTGCCCGTGTTGACTCAGCACCGGCTGCACGTGCGGAGTGCCCGCCCCCAGCACCACTATGGGGCAGCGGCACGCGCTGGCGGAGGCGGAGGCGCCCCCCTGGACCCCGTTTATGGCGGCATCCCCCTCCTCCCCGTTCATGGCGCAGTAGAGCTCCGCCGCTGCATCCAGGCGCCGCGCCACCCACTCTGCTCTGCGGCGCGAGGGGGAATGATGAAGAAGCGGGAGCGGAAGGGGGAGGAGACGGGGAGGGAAAAAGAAAAGGGGAAGGTGGATGGGATCGAAGGGTGTACGTAAAAAAAAAATCGTGGGAGGAATGAATGAGGGATACCAGTGGGTGCTGCAGCCAATACAAGGGCTGTCAATGCAAGCGGTTGCCGGCGCACCTGGAACGGTGCCGTCTCTCTTCAGTCCGCCCGCCAGAACAATGATCCCGTCCGCCGCGAACCCCTCTCTTCCCCCGCGCGCATCCGCGCCGATCCCCGCACCATTCCGTGCCTCCGCGCTCCCGCTTTCCGCCCGCGCTTGGCAGATCGTGCTGTATCGGCGGAAGCTATGCGCATGTTGCGCGCCAATCACGCTGACAGGACCTGTGACACTTTGGCTGATCAAGCTAAGTGAGGGAATGCAAGTCGCGGATCGCCAATCATCGTGAATGGCGCTCGTAGCGCAAGGTGCGCCGGCGGATCGCGAGCATACGAGCGACCTCCTAGAATTAGTCTGCTTATGAGTCAACGCGAAAGCAGCAGGAACCAGCGATCTGCTACACCCACAGCGGTCGGAGCGCGCAGCGGTGACCCGGATTGGACTTTCAACGCCTCCCCGCAACAGGAACGGTCGTCTGGCGGTTCCGCTGCTGCCGGCATCCGTCGCGCGCCGGGATTCTGTACGATCGCGTAAACCGTTAGACTTGCCGGTCAGGAAACGCGATAAGTTGATGTCGTGACCCTGCGCGGTACTTATACGAGAGGCTGACGTCATGGCGCGACCAGTGCCGTCGATCCACCTGGCGATCGACTGACACGTCATCCCCGAAGCACACGCAAAATGCGATGTATTTGATCACGTAAACTGGTGTGCGGGGCGGTGAGGGAGGGTAGGCCGCGAGCCGCAGCAGGAGGTGTAAGGATGGAATTTCGCAGGGTACCCTGGTGAGTGATACAGCTCGGTTTGAATTTCTCGATTCTCAAACTAGAGATACTCAAAAGAACCGTGTTACATCGTGAGGAAACCAGCTGAACCGCACCAAAGCTACTCAAATCTGGATCCGAGTCTTTCACCACACATCTGAACCGTTGAAGGGCATATGATGGTTCTCGTTATGCTAGAGGACTCTATGAATATGGAATAAGATCTATGAACATGGAATAAGATCTCTGAACATGGAATAAGATCTATGAACATGTAACAAGCTCTTTGAACGTGGAATAAGCTCTATGAACATCAAATAAGCCCTGTGAACATGAAATAAGCTCTATGAACATGAAATAAGCTCTATGAACGTGAAATAAGCTCTATGAACATGAATTTCACTTTTAGCTGTGGCAACAGCAAGCAATACTTTCAGCACACAACCAACTAGCGATCAGCGAGGCAAACACCTCCCGGCAAACACACAACTAGGACATCACTGCGCGGCCATCTGCTGCTGCCGGTACGCCTTGAACGAGAATGTTTTAACAGTTGGGCTGGGAGGGGGAGTGAGCGACCGAGACGCGCCTACCACCATAGCCTTGCTGCTGCTGCCTCTCCCGCTTCCGCTAATATGGGGGCTCCCCATGCTGTCTCTCCCGCTTCCACTAGTACCAGGGCTCTCCATGGCGGCCCTTCCGCTGCCGCTAGCAGCAGGGCTCCATGTGACCCTGCTGCTCGGCTGGTTGCCGTCTCTCCGCTGCCGCAGCGGTCCGCTCTGAGCGCACCGCCCGCTGCGCACGAAAGACCGCTCTGTCATGCCAGCACGACCCAAATCCTCCAGGTTCAGATCCTCCGCCTGCTTCTTTGGAAACAAAACGTCTCCAGTAGTAACGGCATTCCTGTCTAGACTGTCTTTGTCAACGGCGTCTGAAGGCGTTGCTGCACCGTGCAGCTGCCATGCGCGCAGCTCCCCCTCATCCATGCTCAAGCTTGCCCGCCCGCGACGAGCGGCGGACGCCCCGCGACCCAGGACGTGTGAAAGTTAGAAGAGAGAAGAGGGCTGCACTAGCAAGAATGAGGAAACAAATAGCAAACCCTAGAAGGGTTGTACTCGCTATAGGGCACCCCACTACAGGCTAGAGCATAAGATAACATTCTGACACACCCCCATAGCCAAAGTGGGGTGTAATCAGCAGAGCACGCAAAGTAGTACAAGCTCAGGGTGGATCACAATGTCACCACACATTCTCAGCACAAGTTCAAGAAGCAATAGTTTAAAGTTCACAATTATGAGCAAAGCTAGTGGTAGTCACCACGGGCAAGTGAGGAGGAGGAGAGAGAGTGAGAGGAGAGGAGATAGGAGGCGACGGATGAAGCTGCAGACACACGGGCAACAGGAGGCACACTGGCACAGCGGCTACCGGAACAACGCTCCGGAATACTGGAGTAACTGGCCCCGTGGCTAAAGTAGCGGCAGACGAGCAACGGACCCACAGGCGGCTGGCACAGCTGGCTACGACTGGGCTACCGGAGCAACTCCCCGGACTACAGGTGCTGTTGGCGACACGACGGCAACCTCCATTCAGCTTCCTCCAAACTATCCCACTCCCCCTGGCACACACCCGCTGCTACACCGCTAGCTCCACTCCCCCTTCACCCCCCCTTAGTACCACTCCACCGGCTCCAACACGTCCACCCCCCCTCAGCGGCAGCTACAGCACAAGGAGACGGAGGAGGAGGAGGAGCAGGGAACGGTACAAAGTGAAGTCACCCCCATACCCGTCACCCCCCAACCCTAATTCAGGAGAATGGGGAGTAGGAGGGGTGGGGCGCCAGTAGAAGCATTGGGGGACAGCGGGGAGGGCAGGGGTAGCGAGGAACGGGCCCACCACGGGCCTGGTACAGACGCCCGAGCCGCGCGCAGGCGGCCTGAGCCGCGCGCGGGCCTGGCGCCGTCCGTACGGGCCGCGCGCGGGCCTGGCGCCGCCCGTACGGGTCGCGCGCGGGCCTGGCGCAGCCCGTACGGGCCGCGCACGGGCCTGGCGCAGCCCGTACGGGCCGCGCGCGGGCCTGGCGCAGCCCGTACGGGCCGCGCGCTGCCTGTACGGGCCGGGCGCAGGCCACGACGGGCGACGGGGGGCGATGCGCGGGTCCCCGTCGCCCGTCGCGGCGCCTCCAGAGGGCGACGCGCCGAACGACGGGGCAGAAGCCCGCCGCGCGCCTCGGGGCGCACAGCGGGCAGAGAATCGCCGCGCGCCTCGGGGCGCACGGCGAGCAGAAAACCGCCGCGCGCCTTGGGGCGCACGGCGGGAAGAAAAACTGCCGCACGCCACGGGGCGTGCGGCTCAGAGAGTAGTGGTAGTAGTTGCAGCGGAAGCAAGGAGGTGGTAAGCCCACCCACAGGATCGATCCAAGGGGATCGACCTGCTCTGATAGCATGTGAAAGTTAGAAGAGAGAAGAGGGCTGCACTAGCAAGAATGAGGATACAAATAGCAAACCCTAGAAGGGTTGTACTCGCTATAGGGCACCCCACTACAGGCTAGAGCATAAGATAACATTATGACAGGACGGGCTCCTCCTGTGTGGCGTGCGCGGATTGCGCTTGCGGGCGGCAGCGGAATCAAGTCCCGGAGAGACGCGAGCGGCGGAGGAACGCGGGGACGGGGAGACGCGGAACTGAATCTGCGACTCCGCGGCGCCGCGCTGCTTGAACCTCCTCGACGCAAGACTGGGCGATTTCGGCGAAAATGCTGGCGGATCGGCGGTGACACTCGCGGCTATCGGCGACCTGGGCGGTTTGCACGGGGCCGTGGGAGAAGGCGGCGGCTTCTGCCACGTGAAGCGCGACAGCGACGCCTCGATGCGCGCGACAACGCGGCTGCTCATTTTCCACGGCCGTCGCACGAAACCCGCGCCGTCGCCGCCTTGAGCGGCGAGGGTGGTGGCCTTCGCCTCCTCCGCGTCGGCGTGCATTTGCCACAGGTCGCGTGAGCCCACCAGGGACGAGGCGCGCTTGAGGTGCTTGGCGATTTTGGACGAGCAGAGACGCTCTAGCGTCCGGGGCTCTGAGGTTGCAGCCGCCATGGCTGTGGGTCCCTAAAAACGAAAGCTGGAAAATCCCAGGAGCAGTTGGTGGAAAACGCGCGGTTATACGGAATAACCTTGGAATGTAACAGTGTGGCAGCCGAATGCTGCCAAGTACAGTGCAGGTGGGCGGAAGTCAAGCGCCACCTCACCAACTGTTCGTATTGGTCAAACGCCTCAACCTGCAGCTGGGCGACCAGGTCCTGACGCGCAGCCCAACACAAACCCTCGCGCGAAAACTACAAAACGCAGAACACCGAAGTTCCGACTGCTCGCCGACTTCGCCAACAACACCGACGAAATTCCAGCCCCGTAACCAAGCTCGCCGTCCAATCCCGTACCGCAATAATTCTCTGAGTTTCACGGCAGGTTCATTTCAAAGGGGTTGGGTTACCATTGAGAAATTCAGAGAGAGTCGCGACTTGGGAGTGCGACTCGATATTTGAATGTGCTCTATAAAATTGTACTGTGAAATTTGTGAAGTCATAGTGCAATTTCCAGAGAACTCCAGAGAGCACTCTATCCTCGTTTTCCTAGCCTACTAAGGCTGCTACTTCCCTGCTAGCAACGTTTCACTGGTAATCAGAGCCTTGTTAGTTATTTTGCACGCTCCCGCCATATTCTAGACCCTATGGCCGGACCGTCTGATATGACGCCGGAACTCTGGAACGAATTTGTGGCGAATATGCGCCGAGAAATTGAACGCGAGGTGCGTGACCGGATCCTCGGCGAACTCCAGGAACGTGGACTCCTGAGCACACAGGTGCTGACGCCAGCACCTGCTGTGGTTTCTGCCCGACCCAAAGCACCCGAACCTGAGCCGTTCATCCCTGGAAAACGTCACTTACCGGTGCGACGGTGGCTTTTCCAAGTGGAGGAATACCTCTCCCTTTGTCATGTCAACCGGGCGGAGTGGGCTCGGCACGCCGGCATGATGCTGAGGGGTGCAGCTGCTACTTGGTGGCAGAGTTGCCATGCTACGATTTCAACTTGGGAAGAGTTTTCTGCATCGCTATTAATGAACTTCGAGCCGGTCAGCTCCATCGAGCGCGCACGTGACAACCTCGCTGAATTACGCCAACATCGCTCGGTCGCTGAGTACATCAACCGCTTCCGCGAGCTTGTGCTTGAGATCCCTGACATCCCTGCTGCTGAACAGATGGACAAATTCAAGCGTGGGCTCAAGCCGAAAATCTGCACCGAGGTCGAACTCCGCGGCGCTACGACGTTGGATGAGATGATTCGTGTCGCCGAGCGTTTTGACACCATCAACTTTGCAGCATACCAACGATTCCAAGGACGAACCGGGCAGCACACCACTGCTGGACCTACCTACCGCACCAACGGTCCTTCTCCCATGGAGCTCGGTGTGGTGGAACAGCGTGCACGCAACCAGTCCACGCTTACGTGCTACTCGTGCGGGAAAGTCAGCCACATCAAGCGACATTGCCCGAACCGCCGCAACTTCGAAAGGTCTCCGGGAAACGGACAGCGCCAGTAGCAGTGGGGCAGACCTCTGGCGCATCGCATGCCTCGCTTCTCCCGAATCCATTATGTGAAGAAAGGAACGTGAATGAATGAACTATGAATGAAGTGAGTACAAATATGAAACCCTAATTGGGTTGTACCCCCTATGGGATACCCCACTATAGCCTACACAACAGCATAAGCTATAATGTTCTGACACACCCCCATAGGCAAAGTGGGGGAGAACAAGGGGTCACAAGACCAGTCCAGCAAAGCAAAGCAAAGCTCAGGGTGGATCACAAAGTCACCACACATTCCGAGCACAAGTTCAAAGGCCAAAAGGCCAGTTCACATGCAAGATCACATATAAAGATATACAAGAGTCAAGCAAACAAGAGCAAGAGTATATATAGGTGAAGGTACAAGCAAGGTCAAGAAGTGAGCAAGTGAGGCAAGACAGGCACAAGACCCAGCTGCGTGCAGCAACGCTGATGATCACAAGGCGCAAGTGCCTTGGTGAAGACATCAGCAGTGTTGGCCTCAGAGGCCACGTACGCAAGTCGCAACTGTCCACGCTGCTGCAGCTCACGAGCAAGAAAGTAGCGGAGAGCAATGTGCTTTGTCCTGTGCTCCAGTCGCTGCTCTCGACACAAGGCCAGCATGGCCTTGTTGTCTACGTACAGGACTGGAGGAGAACGCGGCGGCTCTCCAAGGTCGGTCAGCAGGTAGGTGAGCCAGCGAAGCTCCTGGGCAGCCATAGCCCCGGCGTAGATCTCAGCCTCACAACTGGAGCCGAGAACAGAAGACGAGCGGGTAGCCCGCCACGAAACAGAGCCGGAACCAAGGCTGAAGGTGTAACCCTGTGACGACCGCTGCGTAGCCTGGTCGTCAGCCCAAGAAGCGTCCGCGTGCCCAGTGAGGACCACTGGACTGCGCCCTCTAAGCACTAGCCCCATGCCCGACGTACTGCACAAGTAGCGCAACACCCTCTTCGCTGCAGCCAAGTGCTCTGGTCGGTGTCTCCCAGGAGCAACATAGCGTGCGAGAATGCTAAGAGGGTATGCAAGGTCAGGTCGTGTGCAGGTCATCAGGTACATGAGGCAGCCAACAAGCTCTGCATACGGGCCACTCGACTCTACGGACTCATCCGAAGGCAGAGCTGAGAGCGAGTGGCGAGTAGGCAGAGGAGTGGCCTGAGGCGAGGAGTACGTGAAGCCGAAGCGCTGAAGGACCTGCTGCACCATGTGTGACTGAGTCAGGGTAATGGTGCGGCGTGCTCTGTCCCGGGTGATCTGCAAACCAAGGTAGCTGCGCAGTTCACCCAGGTCAGTGCACGTGTGTCTCTTCTGCAGCTCGGACTTCACGTAGGCTAGTCCAGCAGTGTCAGCTGTGGCAAAGACCAAGTCGTCGACGTACACGAGGATGTAGAA